TTTTGATATTATAGCGATTCAAACGGTTTTGTTATTTCTATTTTCACTATTTAAATTAACTCAAATCACAAAACTATGGAAAGCAATTCAACTACACATTTTCATAAAAAAATTCTCCTTCGATGGCACCATATTGATGAAAATTTGTTCAATTAAAATTTAAAATTAAATAGTCGTTAATAGTTTTATAATTTGAGTGAATTTAAAGGTTTCTGAATTCAATGTGTCTCATATATTACGCGACTATATGATCAAATTTTTATGATATTTTGAAATATGTTGAAAGTGTTTAAAGTTTGCATTTGGTTGCCACTTTTATTGATATTTTGGGAAAAAAAATCTAATGAGGTTTTAAGGCTTTGAATTTTTTTAAATTTTCCCAAGGGCCAACAACCATCTTTTGAAGTTTACAGTTTTGAACAGTTAAAATGAACGTGAACCGAACGTAAACCGAACGTGAACGAATATGATTGCAATATTTTTTTTTGCGATCAACTTGAACCGAACCCGAACGAACACGAACATGAAAATATAATATTTCTCGAACATAAACTGTTCAGTTCGGTTCAGTGGGCACCTCTATTTGGAATTTTACCAAATTGTAATCACATTTTCTGTTTGCCATGCATTCGAAAATGGCGTCAAGCAAAGAACTTTGACAGCACTATCACACGTGCTTGTCCTGAGTGTCGGGTCAGTATCTATTCAATAATTCTAGTCCACTCACATTATTTTTTGGTTACATTTTTCTATTGGCATTCTTCTTCAGGTCGAGTCACACTATGTATGTCCGAGCATGTATTGGGTGGACACAAAAGATGAAAAGGATAAACTGTTGAACGAGTACAAAGAAGCGCTTGGAAGAACCGATTGCAAATATTTCAATCGGGTAAGTAAAATGTCAAATAAATCGAAATGGAACAAAATTATAAGTAGTTTTCATTTGAAAATAGGGCGAAGGAACGTGTCCATTTGGTAACAAATGTTTTTATAAACATGCTCTACAAAACGGTGAATTAATTGATGTTGGTGTACCTCAGCCTCGTCGTCGATTTGATCTCCATGGCGAAAGTAGCATTGTTGAGGTAAGTGTTTTTTTGGTTTCAGGTTGACTTTGACACCAAAACGAAATAAAAAATAAATGTTTTCTGCTTTGATTAATTATAGCGTGTAATATTGTGGAGTTTCCTACAAGCACGCGATGATTTCAGCGACATTGATGATAGCATTTCATCATACACCGACTCGGAGAGCGATACAAGTGATTAAGATCGAATGCCAAATGGGCAAAAGGAACACATATTTAGTGCGTGCCCGCGTTTATTAGATGTTTTGTGTGGTACGCCAATTTTTATTGATCAAATTTATATAGTAGTGGTGTTCTTATTACAAATTCTTAAAAAATAGTTTTTTTTTTGTTGTTGAAAAATGTAATTCTTAAAAATACCAATGGTCAATCTTGTTCATCGTTTTAATCGATTGGCAAAATTATATAGATAAATGTTATAACCTTGGCTTAAGCTAACTGGTTAATATTGTTCGATTTTGCCACAGTGGCATAGTTCGCTTTGACAAAACATAAACTATTTCTGATCATTTAGCTGATATCTATTATCTGAAAAACTGAATAAAAATGGGGACAAACAACAAATCATTACCATAAAATAATCAAAATAATAAATATACCGAATATAAACGGATTCCATTAATTTGGTCGTTTTTTCAAAATGTTATTAGCTGTATTCATTTGAGTGTCGCATAACGATCAAATACACCGCAAAAATTACCTTATTATATATAAATAACACTTAGCACATAGTTAAACAGCATTTTTTGGGTTTTGTTTTTGTTTAAGTGGCGGCTTTTTTTTGGAAAAAACAACAAAAACATTGTACAAAAATTGTGGATAGGCGAAAATATAAATTTGAATAGTATGACACCGCGGTTATATTGTTTCCGATGTTGAAACCTATTTACTATTATTTGATGTGCCTTTTTCTATTTGAATATGCAACATTGTATGAGAAAAAGAAATAAACAAAAAAAAAAGAAAATCTTCAAGATATAAAAAAAGCAAATATAGTCAAATATCTCGCAAAAGCAATAAATGTGTTTGTTTATAGTTTTTATTTTGATTTGAATATTGGTTTTAGGCAAAAGACGTACTACTCTTTGGAATGTGCTTAGATCGTTGACATTTTTCAATTTTCGATCGGAATAAAACGACTCTCATATTGAAACTTGATTTTCTTATTTTTGTGAACCAATAGTAAAATTTATATGGCAATAGTAAAATTTAAAATTGAAACAATGAAGAGAAAATGTGCGTTGTAATGAAAATTTGCCGCACATTTTGTTAAGTTTTCTTGTGACGAGATGCAATCGTATTTGCTGAATAAACAGAAGAGACAAGCGCCAAACGGTCGTGTTATTTGGTACAACTTCAAAGTGGAATTGCTGACATACCAACACATATATATACGCGCATGCCTCTCTATTCATATTGAGAGCGAAAAAAAAAACGTGGATAGAGGCAACTGTCGAGTAGATGAAACGTCATACGCGACACTGCCAAATCACAGAGATATAGTGAATGAGTGGAGTGGATATAAATGAATGTGTGAGAGAATGAATTAAACGTTGGCAAATGCAGAGAGAGAGAGAGTGTGTGTACTGGGTGAGAGAGTTGCTGGCTGTTGCTCTGTTGACAGTATTGTGTTGTGTATAAATTACACGTAAATTTCTATTTGCCCATTTAGTTACATATTGTGTGTGAAAGTGTTCACAGAGTGTAAGATTCTTAGAGAGTTATTGTATGTTTTTCTTTTTCTGTTCATTTGTTCGTGTTTCTTCTTTCATGTTATTCATGCACGACAATTGGTTGTGATGTACTCGCTCGCAACATATTTTAAGTTATATTCACTTTAATAAATTGTTTGTAATTTGTTTAATAAGAATGTGAATGCTCATATGAATATTGGACGATTTAACGTAATGTGAATGACACAAAAAACAGTAATATAGTGTGTGTGTGTGTTTTTTTTCGCCGACAACAACAACAACCGAAACAAAGCGCCAAAACAGAAACCAAAGCAAGAAGAAAACAAAACGACAAAGCAAATGTGTGTGTACAAAAATCCAATTCGGGTAATTTCAGTGTGAACCAAAAATAAAACTGAAATTTTTCATTGTTGTTTCATTCGCTGGCCGAGAAGTAAGTACATTTTAATGAAAAATCCCGTTGGTCTAAATTCTGTGTCTTCGGCACCATGTTTTATTTTTAGCCGAATTAACAATCAATTTTCTGATATAAATCAATTGAATTAGTTGGTGATAGTTTAAATGTTTGTTGTTGTTTGTCATCTCATCATTTCGATGTTGAGCTGATTGTTTTTCATACATTTTATGCTTATCGTGTGTGTGTGCGTGTGTGCGTGTGCTTGTGTCTTTTATATTTATTTCAATTTCGATGAAACCGGCGGTAACCCTTTTGCTCAATCAATCTAATCACTATTATTCAGCACATAATTTCTCATCAAATCGTTTGATTTATTCAATTAAATTGACAGGAAGTAATTATTTATTTGAAACAAATCAATGAAGAAATCACATCCAACGGATTTTGTAAAACGACCAAAAATAAAATAAATGTTCTGCACTCTGTGTTTTCACTACGGCAACTACTTCTACTGTTACTATTACCGCTGCTTCGGCAGCTGTTGCTGTTGTTGTCGTGTTATTTTTTTCATTTCTATACCGCATAATTGTTATGATGCATTTTTGAATGAATTTCAGTGCGTTCTGACTACAATGCACATATTTTTACATGCACATTACTGAGTACAATGTTGATATGTAATTTAACAATATGGACTGGATCAATCTATAACGTGCGCTCGTACAATTTCTAATGACAATTCAAATATGTTGAAACAAATCAAACTTTGTTGTAACTGAACCTTTTTACAACATTCTTTTTTTGCCATGTCATTTGATTGGTTATTTGTATATTTCCTTTTCATTTTACATTGATTATCATCATCTTAGCTTCATCTGATTCCGTTCGGAAATTATTTGAATGTTCTAGAATGCATAATCATAAACGGTTTTGATAAGATTAAACAGAATTGTCTCTTATCCACCTCTTTATGTTCCACGTTTATTTTTTTTTCATAAAAAGCAAATACACCGAGATGATGATGTATACAATTTGCAAGAGAAAAACAAACATTTCTTCAAAGTAATTTGTCTCATTTAATTTGATGCGTGAACTTTTAACTGGTGAACTTTGACTGGGCATCTCCATTCAATTTTTTATGCATCACTTCCAAATTGAACTTCACGTGAATCTGGTTAACAGTTGTTGGGCGTAAACATTTTTTCTTCGTTTTCAACGGACAATATGTTTGGATTTTGTCATCTGGATATTTCAGTTCATCTGGATGACGTTAGGCGATGATACGGAGTGAAAACTTCTATTGTTTTCACTCCATATCATCTCCAAACTTCATCCAGATGAGCTAAAATATCGAGATGACAAAATCCAAACATATTGTCTGGTTTTCAATGCTTTTGAAATTTGAATGCATTTCCAATCAGAATTTAAAATATAACCACTTGCCAAAAATATATTGCTGACATTTACAGTGATATGTTTATTTTTGGTTTCTAGTTCGCTGTAAGTATATCAAACGCAATTCATTTAAAATATCCAAAGCATTTATAACCTTTGTAGATAAACCTTAGCCGGAACTAAATCTGTGACTCATTTTGAACAATTCTAGATCCAATGAGACATGCTATCTGAGAATTGACC